TGTAATTCTAGGGTCCTTGAATGCCACACACCTATATTTGTATGTGCAGTAATTGCCTTCTCTCCTTATATTGTTGTCATACTTTTATCGGGGGCCGACAGTAATGAAGAATGAAGTCGATAAAAACCTGTGAAGAGTAAACAGCAATTTTTTAAATGCCTTCCATAAAATGCCATTGTTGACTGTAGACAGACAGTGAACTCAACTGATATCTCACACAGTTCACATATATATATACTTTCATTCTAATATTGGAATATGTTCCTCAAAGTTCCAGGGTTGAAAAATTGTTTGCAGAAGTTTGAGTGGTGCATAGAAAGTAGAGAGGTTGAACTGCAGTTAACGTTTCTACCTGTGATATTTCAGTTTCTGAATTTCAAGTACGAAGAGGACTGTCTTCTGGGATACTGTGCCCTGTAGCATAGTTGAAAGTGGGCGAAGTTTCAGAGGTGCTTACTTCCTCAGTCATAAGGGCGATGACATAGGCACTCTGTGCTTCTGAAACGTCTGTCAATTTGTGCGAGACTAAAAACAGATTTACCACTATGCAGCCAGTGTTGTGTATTTCTCGCTGGTATGTAAATGGCAGAACATTCGTTTCCAATGAGTAAATGGAGTTGCAATGATCTGTGCAGTGGCTGAACGGTGGACAAACCAAATTTTCTGCCAAAGTTTTGACGACGCGGCTTGTAGCCCGAGAGTATTTCATCAACTTCAATCGCCGCGAAAGCTTCACTTCATACATCTATGCAGTTCCTTATTCATCGCCCTGATGATGGAGGCAATACGGACCTCTGGTATGTTGATGGACTTCTACCAGACTACACGGCGCTACAACCCAGACGACAGCCATCTTCGGACTCACCGCCTTGAAAATTAAAAACCCTACTTAACCTGTGCAGTTATTTATCTGTATGTAATCGGAACAAATTGTACAGTAAAGATAATTAAGAGGAGCGAATTCTTTTAATCAACAGAAGTAATACTAAATCAATACTGGGCAGAATGGTTATCCATGACTTTCAACATAAGATCCGTGGACAAAAGAAATGTCACAATCCAAATGTAAAGTGTGTGTGATTATGTCGCAATAAATGTAAACGATACCACATAAAATGCCATTACAAATTTCACACTCCAGCTAATGTGCAAACTGTCTTTTTAACCTAAGGTTTATATGAACCTCCGTTTCACAGCAGTGCTACGTCCATACGGACATAGAGAGAACAATTTTGAATTCCAAGTACGCCACAGATACTCTAAAGCTCAGTTACATCACGTTGCCGGAAGTTCGGTGCTAGTTATTAGCATTTAAGTCAGTCGTAACGAAGATTTTGTACGGCGAAAGTGCGCGAAAAGTGAGAGGTGGTTTGTATTGCATGGTTTGATCTTGTGATAAAATCAGTAATTTTTTCACCAGAATGTCTGCTGTTTATCATAGCTATTCGGAAGGTGTGTATTTTTGTAGGTTTACTTAGTTGATACAATTTATGAAGTAATAGTAGTTGCCCAGTGCAGAATTGGTTGTAAGGGCAGTTAATCTTTGTCCTTAATATCCAGTACTAGCAATCCAGTCACGTAACTTCTTTATTTTCCACTATTAAAGCTACGACATGACTTACGTAGACTAAGATGTTTACCGTAATGATAAGAGAACAATAGAATTTGCGTTCCACATCTATGTTATAGCGCTAGGCCAGTGATGAGGAACATGTAATAGGAATATTGTACCGATACAGTAATTAAATGTTAATACGTAGTTGTTACAGGTCTTTACGGATGTCTTTTAAGAATATTATATTATGCTTGACAAAATAATTGTTATGAAATATTTTATTTATAAATAGATTATTTCACAGTAATTAAGAATTTTCATTTGAAGTTGAGTTGCTTTTACAGAGTAAGGCTTAAAATTAGAATTTATATACATTTCATAACTTACAAATACATAGAGGTTGTTATTCCCTCTAGGCTTCCCGACCAATACCCGGTGCACATCTCTTGCCCCATCTATGCGTGCCACATGCCCCGCCCATCTCATTCTTCTTGACTTAATCACCCTGACAGTAATGGGGGAGGAGAACAAATTTTTAAGCTCATCATTATGCAGTTTTCTCCATACCCCATTGTCTTGTGTCATAGGCCCAAATATCCTCAACACCCTATTCTCAGACACCTGAAATCTGTGTTTCTCCCTCAGAGTGAAAGACCATGTTTTGCACCCATACAAAACAACAGGAAAAATTATTGTTTTGTAAATTTTAATCTTTAGGTTCTTAGAAATCAGATAGGAAAACAAAATATTTTGAACTGAGAAGAAGTAGCAAGCATTTCCAGAATTTAGTCTCCACCTAACTTCCTCAAGAATATCATTTTGATTTGTTATTGTGGTTACCTTAATTGCCATGGTCTATATGATTACCATCACTCCATTGGTTATTCTGGTTTCCATGGTTGCTGTATTTTCCTTGGTTACCATGGGTACCATGGTTGACTTACAGTTTCTTATACCTTAAACCAGTTCCATGCATATGGCTTACTCATTGCCCTGATGATGGCAGCAGCAAGGATCTATGAAATGGTGAATTTCAACCACACTACAACCCAGAACACATGGTTGCCTTGGTTGCTGTGGTAACCAAGATGGCCACCTCTATATGCAGATAGACATGGGAATTCCATATGTCCATCTGTATATGTGGGCCAACGGCTTCTGGCGGAGGAACCCCTTTAGGCGGGGTGATGGTCCCCTTAGTGGAGGAAATACCACTGAAATCCATCATGTAGCGTCTGTTCTCCAGGTTAGGGGTGGCTGCAAAAGGCGTCTGTTCCCCATGTTAGGGGCGGTCTAAAACAAACCTTGAGGAAAGCAATGGAAACTACCCCAAGATTTTCTTTTCCAATAAAACCCATCATGGATTTGCCCACAGTTAAAGACAGATTGTGGAACGTGTCTAATGATGGGTCACCACTTTCAACATTGAAAGCTGGACTGATGATAATGATATGTGCACAGGCATAAGTTGACAAACATGGCCATCCTTGTATGTCCAGCACTATATGGCCACCTTTATATACAGATAGACAAAGTCCAAAAACCCAATTAAACTAATTTGCTGAGTGTCTATAAGGAACTCTGCTGGGTGATTTTAGAAGTGTCTGTTTCCATCTCCTCCCCTACCTCTGTCCGTGTTTTTGGCATCGATAGGAAATACTGCAAGAGTCTAGGAATCAAACCTTGTTCTGTACGTTTATCCAGAATTAATCGAACAAAAAAAGTAGAACATAGTATGCCATGACAGAGTTCCTGTGAATTGATGGCACATGATTGAAAGGTAAAAAGGCCAGATATGTTAGGTTATGTTTGATAATTCTGTTTTTCAGGTGAAGAGCATGATAATGATGACATACTACAGTCAAAGTTAGCTGATTTGGAAAAGGAAGTGAAAGCTTTACGTCTGAGAAAGAACGAACTTGAACAACTTCTTCAACAACCAGTGGAGTTCAAAGATGTTGCAAGTGAGAAACGTGTGGCAAGAACAGTGGGCTCTCATAAACACTTTCAAAATTTTGAGAGTGCCTTTTTGCAGAAGAAACTGACGCTTCACAATCTGACAGGTATATGGTACTATTAAAACTGATGCACAATTGCGTGAGGTATAAGCATTCTTTTGAGAGACTGTGATGGTAGTTTGACCAGTCAACATTTCTTTGCTCAATTGATGTGTAAGAAGTTATAAAAAAATGTCTTTGGATTATTGAATGAGCATTTGAATGCATTATTATAACGTAACCTTTCCTAAGTGACTGTTTGTTGTCTGCAAGTAAAATATTGTATTGTACAACCATGCATACAATATTCAAAATTATTAAAACTAGAAATTAAGTTGTGATATTGGTGGTAATCCAGTTTCATCTAGCATATGCTCCATTAACAGCAAAAAATTGCATTGTAACACAGTGTAAACATTTAATATAAATTCTCACTTGAAAAAATGATACATCTCAGCTGATCAAAAAATTCCTCACCTTTTATAGATTCTGAAGGTTCATTACCCTGTTCACAAAAGCCTGTCATATGTCCCTATTTCAAGGTCCTAAGTGACATTTTGTGGCATGCTTGATATTTACAATAATAAACTGTTGGCCCCTCATCTGATCCCCAAGCTGGAGGATTACCATTTGTCAGGTGTTGGTGAATTATTCAATATATTTATAGCCACCCTCCATAGCTGGAGAGCTTCTCCTCCATCTACAACCTGCATATGTGACAAGGGAGCCACTCAACATAGTCACTGCACTCATTCACTGAAAGTTACTGCATTTTTCTCACAAATTCATCAGTGATTACTTACATGTCAACACAATTTCTTTATATTTCACACATACAAATACATTTTTTATGGTTGTAAATCAAATTTCTAAGTGAACTCTTGATCATTTACTTTTATTCAGAACATACAGATTATGTAGTAAATGAAAGATACATTTAGCACAACATCACTACTGGCACTGATTCTGTTAAACATTTACAAATACAGCTGTTTAAAAATTCTGCAGTATCCTTTGACTGTGTGGTACAGTTCAAAGCATTTAATATATTGTTTCTTTCCTCAGTTTGTTTGCTTTTTACACAGCATCAGCAGTAAAGTGGGGGGTCACGATTTAATCATTATTCAGATTGGTCACTGGATGGTCTGCCTTAGCCTTCTGCATTCTTCAGCTAGTGGTCATTATTTCATGCAATAGGGATTCCACAAGACGTTGTCTGAATTTGAGTTATAGGCCTCAATATTTTGCTGTGGAGTAGATGTGTTTGGTCCAGGGTCCAAATCAGTAACCTGAAGCCATTTTATTAATTGTTTTATTCAAGGTTCACTGTCATTTGTGCCACTTTCTCTCTCACCATCAGCATCTCTTCTTTTACAATCGCTGTCACTGGAACTAATATCTGATATACTTTCATTTCTTATGTCTGAGATAGATGCTATTTCATCACCATCACACTCCTTCTTGCTGTGTTGTGTAGATACAAAAATAAATTAAAAAAAACAAATTGTCTATGAATTTGACTACACCCACACACACACACATTGAACAGTTGGTTCCCACACTGTCATAAAACATTAATGCTGCCATCTCACTCGGTGATATTACAAAGATTTTCCTCTGAATATCAACAGTGACTTAAGACAGCTTCTTATGGCAGAGTTATAAGTTTATTAAAACATTTCAATGGCTATGGGTATATTTGGTTTCCACTCACAGGGCACTGATCAGACATCCTTGAATATATCCATTTTTTATCAGGAAGTTGTTAATTACTCTTCCGTGCTGACTGCCTCTTTTTTCCAATTTTATGTCCAAGTAGCTTGAATAGTGTGTCGCATTGTTCTGAGATGCTTTTAACAGATTAATGTTACTACTTTTCACGTTCCAGTAAGCAGAATTGTTTCCAGACTCTTCTTTATCTGTCTACCATCTTTCCTCCCATAAATGCAGGTTTTCATTTCTTCGTTAATGTTGCCGCTGCAGGGAACGCTGCTGTCCTTAAGTTTGGTTAAGTCTTACCAAGAATTTTCATGTGTGTGGGTAATAACAAACATGCCCATGGACAATGTCGACAGTCCTTTGACATACAAGGTGACAATTATGTTCCTGGAATGCCCACATATATGTTGCATTGAGTAGCGAGTGAGCATTAGCTAAGTAGTGACATGTTATGATATGTCTGTGGTTGTGTCTTGTGTGTTGGTGAAGCAAATAAGGCAGTAGTAGTGGCAGCATTGCACAAGCACATGTTTTCATCTTAGCAGGAAAATGAATGATAGGTTGTTGTAGCAATGCATTAATATCAAATTTTTGTGCAAAGTTAGGTAAAAGTATGAGTGAAGTTGTGCAGATATTAACAGAGGTTTATGGTGCTGATGCTAAGAAAGAGTTGGGTGTCGTGTGGCATAAAAGGTTTAAAAGAGCTGGATGTCCAAAAACTTGCTGGACAGATGAAAATGTGGAAATTGGTTCATTCTGACAGTACCAGCGTTGTGAAATATTGGCAAGGTTTCATGAGGCTGTTTGTTGGAGAAGGCATAGCCTGATACTTGGATCTTGCATCACGACAATGCCTCTGCTCATGAAACATTTGCTGCCTAGGAGTTTTTGGCCAAGGACAAGGAGGAGTTTGGTTTACACTTATATTCCAGAGGTGTTCATATTACAGCAAGGACAGTGATGTCACCAGGTTTCTTCAGTCATAGCCATGGGTCTAAGGAACTCTGGTCTCCATATTAAGAGCAAAGACAACTGTGGTATCCAAGGTCATTATTGTGAGATAAAGATCTGTTACCATTGCAACAGTTTGATCAAGCAATGGCCTTTGTTCCCATTGTTGCAAGTGCATTTCAGCAATGGCGTTGATTCCAATTGTATGTGGTGTCACCCCAAGGTGAGAGGGAACCAGATTTGGAAATGGTATAAATTTTGAGCGATTACAGTTTTTGTTGTAAACATATGACGCACAACGGTTATGTAAGATTGCTGTAACAATCAAATCAACAGAAATCACAGATAATGTCTTGCTACTGTTCATGATAAAAGTACTGCTGACTGGCAGGAATAGTGAATTTTGCTGTCTTTCACAAGAATGTTGACATTTTCTTTAATTGCAGGTGCTGTTGTGGTAATGAAGGAGGGTAGGGACTTCATTGTGAAGTTTAGTGCATCAGCCAGGGGATGTTATTGTGAGCCCAATTATGTACATTTCAGGAAGCTTATCAGAGGTAGTAAAGAATTTGTTGTTTGTTGGTGGTGGAAAGTCAAACAACCCATGAAAAATATATTTATTTTAATTTTGCCAATTTTATTGTAATAATATATAGAGCCAGGATAGCTCAGTCAGTATGGTAACTAGCTATGGGCTAGACAACTGGGGTTCGATCCCCAATGGGGGCAGAGGATTTTTCCTCTAACTTCTGTGTTCAGACCAGCTCTGGGGCCCACCCGGCCTCCTATCCAATGGTACTGGGGTCCTTTCCCGGGGGTAAAGTGCGGCCAGTGCGTGATGCTGACCACTCACCCCCACCTAGTGCCGAGGTCAAGAATGAGTAGGAGCTATAACTCAACTCCCACCAAACGACCAACATGGCATGTAGTGGGATGGCTTTACTTTTTTTACTGTATTGTACAAGGTGATATTATACTCAATTTGAAGTTTGAATATAAGGACGTCACAGGGATTTATGTCCGGGCTATTGGGTAGCCACTTCTGTCCATATCCATGGCCACCCAATAACGTGGCATAAACCCCTGTGATTTCTTCCTTTGGGGTTACCTTAAGGAAAAACTGGTTTCAAAAAAACCAGCCTCATTCAGCAATGCAACTCAGGGCTTAGATTGTTCAGATGTGTGGTGAAATTATGGGGGATGTTTGCCATTCAGTGATCATGAATGTAGCTGTTTGTGTTTCAGAAGTTGTGTGACAGAATAGTGTTCATATTGAGCATGTAATCTATAAAGCATAAATCTCCATGAAATGTTATTTTTTCTAAACTTTCAGTCGGGGTTTTATTTTGTGCGCCACTCTGTATATGCCCTGAATAAGTTGATAGGCTCAATATGTATTAATAAACCTACTAAAATGGTAACATAAGAGATTTCATCACCACCACTTATAACCTATATTTAAATATAAGTCTAATGGTTATTGCAGAAATTGGTTGATTTGTAGACAGTTTGTATTCTTAAGGTACGGAGCCAAAGTTACAAAGCATTATTCCCACACCATGTTGCTCAACGCGTCGTTGAATCTCCCTAAGCGCGAGGCTGCCGGCGGCTCACAGGGCAGCGAAAGTGTTAAAATAGTATTTTCTTAAGATTTTATATCGGAGTTGGTACATTTTTTCCGGCTCCAACTCCACCTAAAATTGCTTCCAACTCCACAGCCCTGTTAAAGAGCGCATATATTTTTGTTTAATGATTTGATATTTCTCCTCCTTTGGTGATATACAGGTCCCTGGACTGTGGTACGTTACTTTCTTCCTGACTCAGTGAATTTAAGAGAGATGGTAAAGACCAGTCCCTTGAATAATGATGGGGATATTATCCACTTTATACAGTCTATTCAGCTGTGTGTAGAAGCTTACCATGACAGGAAACATCAGATCACACTTACAAAGGTAACATAATACTAGTTTTACTAATATTATGTTTGACATCATCTCATCCCATCTCTAAATTGTCCATTGTTTGTAATATTAGAGGAGACAATTTGGTTTTGAAGCTAGGACCATTATAATACTAGGCTAGCTCACTATCACTGTACCAACAGGGTGGAAGAAGTTACAATGAATTCTCATTGTAACATACTTCACATTAATTTTTTAAATAATTAATATTTGAAATTAATGTACATGTTAATCCACAACTCAAATCCCATATGCAAAGCAACAAAAATATTTTAGTTTTAAGTATAATATCTCAGAAAATAGAAAATTTAGAAAATCCATACATTAGTTCACACATTTCAGTGTTTTTATAAAATAAATTTAAAAGAATCAGGAAGTTGTGGAAAAGTACATGTTAACATACTCAATTGCCTTTGCCTGTAAAATGTAACATTTTTTATTGTAATAGAACATACTATATTTATATTCTTTTTGTACAGATTACCAACAGAAGCCTTGCTTCAGCCAGGCCACAGAAATTCTAATGGCAAGAAGTATGAAGATGACTTGCCTTTTGGGATGTTGCACCGCGTAGTCCGGACTACAGACTGCGGACTACATGGTGCAACATCCCAGAAGACAGTTATTATCACCAACTGTTTTGTTCTTTTTTATCTCAGTTTCTAAAGAACCGTTTTGCCATTCCATGAAAAGTTTAAGTTCCAGAAATTCCTAGCATTAGGATTTGAAGGGATGAGATTAATATTTTAAGTAAATATATTTAAGTTATTGGAAGTTAGATTAATGTTTTACTCATCCTGTTTGTGCAAGCAAATAAGATGCCAATTAACCCTTTATGTTTGCTGATGGGAACTTGACATATGAAGATATCCAGTCTTAGAACAGTTGCCAGATACGAGAAAGAAGGCACATACAGACGGATGGTCTCAGTCAAGGTCTGAAGACTGATTTTGGTTTATGCTGGAGGAAGAAACAGAATTTACTTCCAACGCCTTAATGTATAAATTAATACAAAAAGCTGGACACTGTCACAATGAAATGAACAGTGAAAATACAAGAAGTTGAAGAAAAATTAATTTACATTTACCTGATCACTCAGTTGTAACTGACACAGCATCATGCCACAATGTGCAGAACAGGGGATCTAATTTTTGGATCAAAAATGTGTTATGAAATAATGGTAGTATGCATGTACGAGGTGCGATCGGAAAGTTTCAAGACTGCGCGTATAAAAACCCGTACACTTATCTCAGGTATTAAATTCATCCATCACCCTCGAAGTAGTTCCCCTGGGAGTGAACACAATGATCCCAGGAATGGCGTGTGCATCAAATTTTGCCAAAGACTCGCCAAAACGGCTACGGAAACCTATGAAATGCTCAAGCAAGCATTTGGGGAGTCCGCAATGGGTCGTGCACCAACTTTTGTGTGGCATTCACGTTTTAAAAATGGCCGAACCTCTGTCGATGATGACGAGCGTTCTGGACGACCATCTTCGAGCACAACGCCCGAAAATGTTACGAAGATCGACGTCGTACCATCACTTGTACGACTTGTGCGACATTGTTGGGATAGGCTATGGGGCCTGTCAGCTGATTCTAAAGGAAGAACTCCACATGCGACGCAAGGCTCCTGTCTGAGGACCAGAAGCAGAATCGCCTTCTCGTTTGTCAGGAGCTCAAAGATCTTGCAAGAACCGACCCCAGCTTCCTTTCTAAGCTCCGTGTGACTTCTTCCTCTTCCCAAAGATGAAAATTCAGCTAAAGGGATGGAGATTTGAGACGATAGAAGAGATTCAGGCAGAATCGCAGATGGTGCTTGACAGGCTGGCAAAGAAAGATTTCCAGGGATGCTTCCAGGCTTGGCAGCGGCGCTGGGATCGTTGTGTTCACTCCCAGGGGAACTACTTCGAGGGTGATGGATGAATTTAATACCTGAGATAAGTGTACGGGTTTTTATACGCGCAGTCTGGAAACCTTCCGATCGCACCTCGTAAAATACATGATTTGAAGCTTCTGTAGAGACCAGACTCAAAAACTAATCGGGCAGTCTGCAGCGTCAGTTAGTTACACAAAGCAACCAAATTGCTGCAGCTGATTGCCCAAGAAGATTTCATTGACTGTAAAATACTATTTTCATATGACATGCTGAAGGTGGAGCTGTATGATCTCATGAAACAGCATGGGCAGTATATAGATCACTCATGTTTAAAAGAACATGGACATGCAGTTTTACATTCAATTTGGATGTCATTTTTATAACTCACAACAAAAGAAGCTAATGAAATATCTCAATTTACATGGAAAGAAGTTTGCGGTCATGTAAAATATGTAAAATTATATTCAGCAAGTGACTGTATTCTTGATTAAATAGGCAGATCGTTTATAATTTTTTGTGAATGTCGGACATTAATGTATCATCAGGTAAAAACCTCGTATATATGATTTGAGGTTTTCACAGTGGTGAGTATGAAGATTTCTGGGTTGTTGCGCCGTATAGTATGGTAGATGTTTACCAACGTTTCAGACGTCATACTGCCTCCATCATCAGGGCGATGAATGAGCCAATTGAGGGCTCCACTCAATTGGCTCATTCATCGCCCTGATGACAGAGGCAGTATGCACTCTGAAACGTTGGTAAACATCTAACATACTACACGGCGCAACAACCCAGAAGACAGAAATCTTCAACCTTGTATGTGTCTCCCTGAATGAAGATGAGAGTGATACAGGCCGATTCTGTGGCTCCATTTTAACTCGGCAAAACATCACTTGTCTGTAGTGTAGCATTTTGGTGTGTTATGTTGAATTCTTGACTTTTCTGCATGCCACTTTCGCACACACTGTTCTCTGTGCAGAAAAACCAAGAATGCATGTGTGTCATGAAACCGTCCAGTAAATTAATTTGTTTTCAAACCTCCCACATGCAGCAGTTTGCCAGTTGGCAAAATCTCACCTGGAATGTGCTTTTCTTAATTGAAGTGATATTAGTATGTAATTATTTTACTTCTGGCACCTGAGAGTTTATTTTTATTTATGTTAGATACTGGAACTAAATCAATGTTTTGCTCAGTTTATTGTTTCATTTATATTGCAATTAACAGAAAAATATTATAGGCTCATGATGGAATTTGTTGATGTCATTTTTGAAATGATGGATGCCCGTAACTGTATTAGTGTCTGATTGGATTATTTATACTGAAATTATTTGCCATTAACCTCTGCAATGTTACTCGAATTGTGCGTCCACATGACGAGGACTGTGAACCAGGTGCTGGATCTGTCTAAATAAACTCTTCATCTCACAGGAGTTGGCAAAGTCCAGAGGAATAAAGCTCTTCAGCAGCACTGACTATATGTTTGTGATGTTCACAATAAGGGAGACTAACAGAAGATCCTTCCCAGTGACCGTCAGTTTAATTTATGAATCCAGTGGAGTGAGGCCTACATTTCTTGAAGTACAGAGCAAAGGTTAGCAACAGTTTGGTTTATCTATATAAATCTGGATTAGAATATAGTAGACTGTGAATATGGTCAGAAAGAGTGAACAGATGTATTATTCTTCTCCTTTCTTTAGGTGTTGATAAGAGAACTGTGGTCAGTATTGAAGAAGAGTTTGAAGTGTTAAAGATGCTGTCTCTAAATCGGGGTTTTGACATTTTATTTGTGAAGCAAGATGAGAACACTGAAGACTCGTTATCCGAAGGAAGCAGTAATTTTCTTGTCTTGGATGAATCAGACCCAAAGGGACAAGGGAGACCCTCTATTGAAAGTTCGGACTCACTTGATTCAGAGAATGAACGTGATGAATCTGACAGAAGTCAAATCAAGGGTCAGAGGAAAGGTGTAGGTTTAAGATCAAGAGGGGGCATAAACAGGCAAAGGAATTATGTAGGTTCAAGTTCACAGAGGATTGCAAATAAGAGTTCAAGAAAAAATATGGGAAGAGATGCTGGTAAGAATCCAAGAAAGGGTGTAGCTTCAGTTTCAGGAATTACAAGGAGGTGAAGAAGAGAAGGTAAATAAATGACTTTTGTTGAATGTGTGGAGTGTGTAAAGTGATCATCCTGAACTCTTTTAAAGTGAAGCAAACAGTGCAGTTTGTGTATTCATATGACACTCTGAACTTTAACAATGTTTCGTAAGGCCTGAATTTCTGTAATAACTATTTTTTCTTGCATATATTTTCCTGTCATATTTGTTATTGCATAGTTTATTTATATTTACCATTGGGTTAAAGACTTTGAAACAGATCCTTTGCTTCTGTACTGTTGCTACCAAAAATGTAAGATGTAAGAGGCCTGCTATTGAGCATCCAGCTCTCAGAAAAAACCAAAGGTCTTAATGGCTGCTCCTACTCTACTACTGCTACCAAAATTGAGAGGAAAGAACATATGTATGTTTTCCTCTCTTGCTTAGCTACAATAATTTTTTGTTATATACTTGCAAGTCGTGTCATTTTTAGTTTATCTCTTGCCACAGAAAACAATTCACTGAAGCAGAAATGCGTTTCTTATTTCTTAATGTCTGAAGACCACCTTGTTAAACATAACACTCCTGCAGCTCTGCGCTAACTTTTGTTCTGTGCATGTGGTCATCAGAGATTGCAGTGTGCTACAGATTCAAAACTATGATTAGAGTGTTCTCAGTTTCACATGTTTGTGAATATCACCATTGTTCTTTAGCCAGTCATAACATGTTTAATTCAATAATAAAGTAATAAAATGGTAATGTCAGACATACATAATCATTTTTGGAGCATGTTGAAGAATCTTTAAAATAAATAAATATTACATATTGCATTGTCGCCCTCGGTGGACTAGTGGTTAGCGTGCTCGCCACTGGACCCAAGGTTCGCGGGTTCAATTCTGGTTGAGGTCGATGGATTTTTAAGGGTGATAAAATCTGTAGCACAACTTCCTTCGGAGGAGAAGTAAAGCTGGCGGTCCCATGTAGATTTACGGCATGTAAAAGAACCTTACGAGCATGATACGAGATGTTTCATAAGCAAAATTCAGCGGCCATTTTTCACCCAAGTCTCCTGATTAACTGCTAGATGGCTCTGGCAATCAAATCAGGATTGAACAGAAATTGTGCAGTCAGTGGGCTGGTCACTCACTACTCATAAATGCACACTTCAAGACCAAGAAACCTCCGAAAAAGGAGGCGGCGAAAACCCGCAACGGGGTTGTAGAGCCAAGAAACAACAGCATATTGCATTGATGTTTGCATCTTATTATCCATTGTCATTGCAGTTAGGTACTTTTACCTGGTCATAATACTTGTACCACTTCATTTGGTTGGGTTTAACCAATTTCTTCGTGTGCCCTCCTTGTAGGTCGATGTTTGGTGTGGATGGTGTCTGATTTCAAATGTTGTGTAGAATGTTTTGTTGTACTTGCTGTCTTCTCTGTTATGGGGGCGATATATTCCAGCCTTGTATGGTACTGTGTTGGAACTTAGATAATTGCATTTTCAGGCACTTCAATGTTGACTTGTGTTTATTGCAGAGGTTGTAGTTCCTGTGTGCAATACAACGTGGCATTTTGTTTTGAATTTGTTTTATAGTGTGTGTGATATTTTAAAGTAATGGTTGAAGCTTCTCGTGTGAAAATTTAGGCATGTACTGAAAAGCAAGGAGCAGCAAACTGTGCTAATGTCAGATTTGAGGTTTTCACAGTGGCAAGTGAGAAGATGGCTTTCTTCTGGGTTGCTTTGTTGTGCGGTGATATCTGGCCATTGTCCTTCACTTCCTGTAATCTCTACATCTGGCTGCCAGATTTCTGCTTGTGATTTTGTTTTGTTTCTGAGACTAAAACAAACTCAAACGGAGGAGATTATATGATATTTTGGAAATCCATAAAAAATCAAATCAGGCATTACAAGATATTGTGAAACCGAGGTTCCAAAAGTGCTTCCAACAATGACAGAATTGCTGGATAAGTTGCATTACTTCACAACGGGAATACACGGAAGGAGAAACTATAGAACAGTCGGTAAGTCCGTTTTATGTATTTGCATGAGATGAATGTCTGTCTGTTTGTGTGATTCAACTAAAGAAACTCTGGATGAATTTGGATGAAATTTGGTATGGAGGTTGTGTTGGTGGGGAGTACCTTAATATCATATTTTTCAGTTTTCTGCAATCTGTAATACCAACATGGTGGACGAAGAGACTTGTGAGATGGGGTCGACACTAGTGCCACTTGCTTTAGGACTAGGTAGTGATGTATGGTTATATATTTTCATAAAATATAAAACTCTTACATAATAATTCTTTGTATAATGTGGTAGATGCATGAAATAAAGAATAAATTGACTTCACCAGGATTCGATCCTGTGATTCTATATGTATGAGTCCATTATGCTACCACATACCTAAAGTGCCCTATGCTATCATTGATTTATGACACTTAAACAAGACTTTAGACCACCTGAATTGTATACTTCAAAACTAAAGTTGTCTAAGGAAGATAATTAACATAATATTACTATTGCTGTCTTCTGGATTGTTGCGCTGTATAGTCTGGTTGATGTTAACCAACGTTTCAGAGGTCATACTGCCTCCATCATCGCCCTGATGACGGAGGCAGTATGACCTCTGAAATGTTTGTTAACATCGACCAGACTACACAGCGCATCAACGCAGAAGACAAATCTTCATACTCACCGCTGTGAAAACCTCAAATCTTACATAATATTACTATTTCAAAATTTGCAAAGAACACGTGTGTATTCTGGTATGGAATACACCTTTCCAGTCTTCTTACATTGAGATCTTGCTGTAGATAGCATTAACAGTCTGACGGTACTAAATATCTTGCTACAGTGAAGTTTTCATTGTAAGGCATACTCAATTTATTTTGGTTATACTAAATTTGTATAACAAATTGTAGTTGGAAAAGGAAGTTATTACCTTGTTATATAAATTTAGGATTTATAAATTTGAGGATAAATATGTGGATGTATTTGGTATATAAGAATAATTTGAAACATTCATAGTGATTTTATTTTGGTTGTAGGCAAATACACACCCTACTTTAACACATACAATATTATTATGAAATTACACATCTTACTGTTAGGTGAATATATGAAATGTTTGGAATATGTTGGTTCATTCTATTCTGCATTCAGATTTCTTGGCTGTATGCAACCCTGTATGAGAAAACGGTGAACTCTTGGTAAAGTATTTTGCTTTCCAGTTCAGTATAATCCATTCATTATAAAGAAGAAAAGTATTACACTGGACTTAAGTTATTACATTACATTTATGATATAATTTGAATTATTTGTTTAATAGGGTGGGGATACAACAGGCATTTCATCTGGTGCATGAAGAAATCATGCTGAAATGGGAATTGTCTTAACTAGTATATTTATTTGGTCAAAATGAGAAGAGAAATTTTGCATAAAATTACCTCTAAGAGGCAGAAACAGAATGGAAAATAACTGCATTAAAGGGAATTCTCATGCTGGTACAGAAGTTGACTGTGGTCTTCTGGGTTGAATTTGTTGTTTTTGCCGTGCACTGTAGATTCTGGACTCAATCTACGTCTATTTTGTGTTTTGTATTATGAAATGAGTCATGCTGTACCTTGTGAAAATTTTCAGCTTGTTTTGAAACAGATAAGGAAGGACTTGGTTAGTTATCTGTGATAAACATTCTTTTCTTACCTTGTCTATTTGTAGCGATAAATTTAAGAAAGTACGACATTAGCCTTTTAATACAAAAATGATCACCACCATGTTAACTTACGGAGACTAAAAATAAGTGGCTTAATATGAATGGTTCCATGAAATGACTGAAAAGTTGGGTTGCCATCTCTCACTGAAGGATATCAATTCAAGGACTTAGATAAAAGTGATGAGAATGGCTTGTTTTTCCATGTGTTTAGCAGAACAATTTTGTGTTGCAAAGGAAAATGGTGCGTCAGTGACAAATCATAAAAGCACGTGAAAAATCAGTAGGATCTGAAGTTCTCATGACAGTAAGTATGATCATGGCTGTCTTCTGGGTTGAAGCACCATGTAATCTGGTAGACATTTACCAGTGTTTAAGAGGTTCTTGCTGCCTCCACCATCAGAGCGATGAGTAGCCCTGATGATAGAGGCAGTAAAACCTCTGAAACATTGGTAAACTTCTACCAGACTACACAGCACTACAACCCAGAAGAAAAGTCTGTTGGAAAAGATTCAGTTAGACAACTTTATACTTTTACACTATGGGTATGTATTGTGTATTCATTTGTGGTTTTATAAGACCCTTTATGAAACAGAAACCTGTACAAAATTGACAATTTTCATAGTCCTCTTCTGATATTTTCTTAAACAGGTTTCACTGCAGTTCTCAGATTTATATGACACAACTTTTCATAGAAATGTATGTTTATTTATTACAGTGCTGTAATATGATCTTCCAGTTATTAATGAAATGCAAGTGTCATAGCTCCAATGGTCACCCAGAAGACCAGGTTCAATCCTAATGCTAGAATTTGTGTTGAAATAAACTGAATAGTGGCATTTTGGGGGTGGGGGGGGGTGGTGAGTACTTTCCAATAACATAACTTCAGCCTTTGTTCGTGACCTGACAGTGAGAAAGATCTGTTTTTTATGTTGTTATTAAGTATTTATCCTATGATATGGTTTGTGACCCCTGAGCATTGTATCTCACAACACAGTAGTCACAAACTCATACTTCATAAAAATACTTCTTTAGTGCAACTTGTCTTGTGAATGCCGAATTTAATAGCGCTATCAGAGATTTGAGGTTCTCACAGGAGCGAAAATATTGATTCCAGTTTTCTAGATTGTGATGCCGTGTAGTTTTGTAGGTGATTACTGACATTCCTCCAAAACATTGGTAATCATTCAGAAGATTACAAATGTCACAAAGCAGAAGACCACAGTCAAAAAAGATACTCATTCATAGGATTACAAATTGTTTCTGCTTTGTGCTCACCAGGTATATACCCTAGCCTGAGGCTAGATGAAGCTCTAGGTCTTGGCCACAAGGCATCGAGCCCTGCGATACGGTAGCAGTGTGTCTCTGTAACTTAATATGAGATCCAGATTTCTATCCACAATTTCCTGAGCCAGCTGTTCCATGTCACTGTCACATATACCAGCCCAGGCATGAAGATCACCTATGAACCTCAGCGAAGGACATGAACTTATCAACAACTGCACTGAAAGAGCTGTCAGGTTACATTCACTGCGCAGCACGAACACACGGAGGTGCTCTGGACGAGGATTTTCAGACAGGATCTGTGAGATTAACGAGTCATCTACCATTTCCACCCCTTCCCCGTAATTCTCTTCTTCCAACACCACCTATCAGGAGAAAGTGGAATCCTCAGTTTTAGGTGTTCTTTACATGAAATTTTGTACAGGACACAGAATATGAATGTGGGCATTATCAGCTAATTAGAAATGGTAAATTACTTTAAAGACCTTTATACGGGCATACCTCGTTTTATTGCGCTTTGCAGATATTGCATTTTTTACAAATTGAAGGTTTGTGGCAACCCTGTGTCGAGCAAGTCTATCGGTGCCATTTTTCCAACAGCATGTGCTCACTTCGTGTCTCTGCCACATTTTGGCAATTCTCGCATTGTTTTCTTTAGACATGATGCTATTGCACACTACAGTATAGTGTAAACATAACTTTTATATGCACTGGGAAACCAAATAGCCAACTCGCTTTATTGCAGTGGTCTGGGACCGAACCCGCAATATCTCTGAGGTATGCCTGTATTTTGAAGTCATAATAGTTCAGTCAGTAAAATGAGGGAATATGTCTCTGTGCATCATATATATATATATATATATATATATGCGCCTTCACGGAGAGCAAGCTTTTACAGTTTAATGTATTTGTCCAGCATTAAAGCAACTAGTGGACATAATTACAGTATAATCTGTGTAGTAATATTACTGAGCACATTACCTCAAGGTGCTCAAGATGCAAAGCATGAACAAGGAGAGCATGCAGTGTTTCAGTGGCCCCAACACGAATTCTACATATCACAAGTTCAGGCAGCATACTTCCAGCCTGTCCATACCATCCTCCTTCCAATTTAGCTCCAAGTTCTTCCAGATGTGGACAATTCTCTGCCAGCATTGACACATCCACAGAGTGCATCTGGTGATTAGGACAAATGTTCATGAACATGCAAGATATGAAGCGGAATCTTTTTTAAAATCTGAACTTGTAAGATGGGTTTCTTCACACCATTATAATTATATTTGGCACGAGTTAAGCATGAGATTTAATACATAACAACAGATAACAGTTAATTTACTTTAGTGTACTTTTTTGAAGCTTTAGAACTGTATTTAATTAATTACAAGACATAATGCCTATGTTACAGATTTTAAGCCCTAATATCCTTGGTGCCTGAGAATATACATAATCAACAATGACAATGTAGAGTCAGTTTATTATACAACGCAACAGAAATATATTTTCTATAGTCAGTATGCAAAATTGAATCACTGACATAGTAATTAAAATGTATACTGTTGGTTTTACATATGAAAGATGTAATTTTAGTAATCAGCTTCTAGAAATTTAGTCTTCAACAGGCAATGTGTCAATATTTTTCAAATATCAGCAAATAAGAGAAGTTTAGAATAATTAACTTTAGCACAATGGTTGATAAAAATATTAATCCTGTGCTCTTGTGACTAATATTATTAACTGACCAGTTTTTTTGCTTGATATGTTAATAAATTAATGACACAAAAGTACCTGTAACAACCCTAGGTAATTATTACAGCATATGAAGAAAATTCCATACTGGATCCCCCACCTGATCAACCAACACAAGCTTCCGCAGCTTCTGTCCGTGCTCTATCAGATAGCTTTCCAGTGCTGGTGAGAAGTCTACAAAATCAAAGTCAACAGTGAGTACTACGAGATGGGAAAATGATGCAACACTGTGTAGCCAGCTTCCTCTAGTGTAGAGACTGGTTAGGTGAGGAGCAGCTGTAGCGAGGATGGCAGCCTTCTCTGGCGACAGACAAGTATCCCATAAGTCTGTGAGGCTTAGCTTCAGCTTCCCCTCATGGTGCTGTGATAGATGCACAATTGCATCACCTACATTCCTATAATCACAATAGACATTAATACTGCATACTCTTCATGACACTTTCCTTAATCGTGCTGCTATACGAGGATGACTCAAATGAGAAAGTTAAATTTTGAAATTGAAGATTGCTGTCTTCTGGGTTGTTGCGCTGTGTAGTCTGGTAGATGTCCACCGTTTCAGATATCATGCTGCCTCCATCATTAGGGCAATGAATCATTCATCGCTCTGATGACAAAGGCATCTACCAGACTACACAGTGCAACAACCCAGAAGACAGCAATCTTCAGACTCACTGCTGTGAAAATCTCAAATCTTACAATTTTAAAATTATTTATTGTCAAAAGGTTAAAGAAATGCTCTGCTTGTTTGTCCTCTTTCATTTCAAAATGATTTCATAATTCTATCTGAGGAAAATGTCTGGTTTGAGTCACGTATGTAATCTTAAAACCATGTTATGAGAGTTCTTTCCTTATGAAAAGTCTGTTTTTATGGTTCATCATATTTGGGTTTTATTTACCTCAAAAAGGCATATGTAGATAATGAAAAATTATGACAACTGTGGTCACAGATTGAAAAAAAACCCTAAACGTTTCCAAATATTTAGAAAGGTTAGACAGGAAACTGCTTTATCTCCTGTACAGTTGAACTTGGTAATAGGTGATATAATAATAAGAGAAACAGTAGGACATAATTTATCTTTAACATTTTTCAAGTTAGTGAGGGACATCCACTGGAATGGGAAATGCCTAAGGGGTGTAAAGTTGCTGCAAGCCCATACTAAAATATGGAGCAGAAATTTGGATATGGACCAAACTAGATATTAGTAAAATATTCGCTGCAGACATGATATTTTAAAGTAGTATACAAGAAAAAAACAAGAAATTAAAAAATAAATTTTTAGATAAACGCCTTGTAAGGCAAAGAAACAACAGGATAAGATGGTATGGACATGTTTTAAGAATGAATAAATAAGTGATTGCATATAAAGATTTTAACATTGAAAGAGAGGAAATTACCCAAGGAAGAGCAAGATCAGAATAATGGATTAGAAAAGACGCCATACAGATGGAAGGTAGACCACTGGAATTAACAAAGGGGGAGCTGTGAGAAGATGAACTACTTAAAGTAGGAGGAAGAAAAACCAGCAAGATGGTCAGTCCCTCAATGTTTGAGCAGGACGTTACCAGCAGCTACAGGGGCTATGCAAGGATGGATAATGTCACAATGATAACAAATTCATTCTAGAGATAAACCCTTAACTTTTTTATTAGTTTCAGTTGGCTTATATGAATATTGCAGTACAGAGCCTAGTCAGTAGTTGACACCTTAAAAATAAATAACCCCATTTTTATCCTATAATACAGTTAATATAATTTTTCTGGAAGATGGTGTTGCTTTGTACCCTGAAAGTGAAACACCACTGCTTCATCTATTCCTGCATTTATATAGGATGATGAAAGAAATTTGGAAGTTATGATTGAACTTTTATACTCAAGTGTTGATTACTGATCCAAAAGCAGGTTTCAGCAAGTTGCTGAATTATAAAATTAATCTAGGGCCATAGCAGAGAATAAAATTAAGCATGTTATTCATCCATCAAGGCCTCAATGAACACTCTGTAAACATGATCTTGTTAAATGGACTCTGTTGTTCATGACATAATGGCACAAACGTTCTTATTAATAGTGGGTTCCAAAATAAATTACACCAGACTTCGGTGAGCCACCATCTCAGATGAAACACAAGTGATGCTGGTACCTGTAGTATATAAACCCTCCGAGAGACTTAAGGTTTGGGATGAACTGAAGAAGCATTACAACACCAAGCTCTGATGTGTTGGTATCTTGGATGCGAACCTCTTGAAGACTTTGAGAGCAAGTGTTCAAGTCAGATGGTTGAATAGCAGAAAACCATTCACTGATGTCACCACAGCAGCCATCAGGAGGCAAAATATGAGACTCTTGCTCCTGTGAAAAAAGTGGGACTTTGCTTTACAGAAATTGCTCATTTGAAAATGTAAAAATCTCACACAAATATTAATTCTAAAATGCTTCTAAAAAAGGTTAATCTTATGAATAAAAAATATGTGGATTGCCCACTTTGGGCTCCAGTGAGAGTATGTGTGTCTTCTGTAATTCCAGAAAGCTAGTATCGATTCAGTAATATTAAGGCCCCCTATAAATTTAAAGTTAATATTATTGTAGACTGGATCAGCCTTTGGTGTCTATAGAAACAGAAAAGACCAGGAACAGCAACTCGCCTAAAAACTGTGTGTTATATACGCATAACCATAGGAAGTACAAAAGTGACTTATCATACCTTGAAACAGAGAGATCGGAGCCCATTGTCATCTACAAGCCATGATGATGTGGCATCAAGATGTCGGAGATGTGGACAGTGGCGGCCCAAGAGTCTAAGAATTTCATTGTCACATACAGAGCGTAGGACCAGTGAATGCAGATTTCCTGCCAATCCACCTCGCAGAATACGGTGAAATGAAAGGTTTGCTGATGAAACAGTTTCTATATCTCCTGCACGGCGCGTGTCCAGACGAACCTGATGCAAAATACTAATTAAAAGTGGTCCAATGGGAGATATGAAGGTTGGATAGTAACTGGAGGTCATGATTTTTGTTTAATGATTCATTTAACTGTTTTTTCTCAGGTGCATAGGTTGTATAGTGTTGAATGAAGAACTGGAATGACAGTACCTGTACTAAAGTATTAATCCAGTACCTACTTGGAGAGACTGGATCAAATCACAAATGTATGAGACTAGCTGGTCTCTGCGGTGGGTTAGCGAGTCTATTGAAATGGTATTGAAGGACACACACCAGAGAAACTGTTTCCAGCAAAGTTCTGTATCAGAGGTGAAGGCAGGAAGTTCAAGGTTGCCATTTGGATGGATGGACAGGTTTCACATGCATTATGTATGGTGGATGAATATTGAGTATCAGTGGAATGAAAACCTAAATATTCAGGGGAAAAAACATGCTTGTTTGCTGATCACAAATTCCATATGGTCTACTATAGGATTGAATCATAACTTCCATGATAAGAAGCTAATGTATAACAGTGTCAGCTGGGGTATAGCTATCTCAATATAAACAGTGGAGGAAAATTATTCCCCATGGATTATGCAATAATTCCATAGTTAGTTTTCTTTTCATTATATATTTTTGCTGTAACATGTGAATTGCATAATTGTAGGTTGGTTTTAAAAAATCCAAATGTAAGTTATGATGTAGGGTAAACACCTTTTTAAAAGAATCAAACTCACATTTTTCAACTGCCTATTTAGTACCTCAGTGTCTAGGTTTCTGGTGCTTCATTAAATGTCTTGGGTAACACAAATATGTCAATAAATCTAGTCCCAAAGTAATCTGCATAAAATTCATGTTTCACAGTTACAAAATGAGGAAAGTATGTACTATGCATACTATCAAAATCACCTTGACTGTGAGTTCTTGGAGGCCTGTGGCTTCACATTGTTCCAATGTAGTCAGCAAGGCAGAGCACTGTTCAGCACGGAGCCATGTGTTATCATCCCCACCAGAATGATCAAGTTGCTTGATGGTTTGATCAAGTAATATGTTTAACAGGTCCAACAGCATATATATATTATTCCTGACAGAAGAATATCACATCACTGTCTGATTTAAAGAAAGCAGGCAAAGTGCTCTGCTTGTCGCATTGTTAATATGATCAAATAAAGGATAAAATGAACAAGCATAGAGCATGCATATGGAAGGTAAAATATGCAAACAATACTTTAGTCAGTTATGCATGTAACATTTTAGTCAGGTAACCCATAAGGAAGTAACACATTTGTAAATATAGGCATATATGGGTGAATAATATTAAAACTGTTCTTAAAGAAATTGTGTGAGATTGTAGACTTATTAATGAAGCTTGGGATAGGGTCCAGTGGCAGGCTCATGTGAAGATGAGAATGATTTTATGGGGAAGGAATTTCTATATCAGGTGGAGTCTATCAGCTTCTGAAGGACTTTATACCGAGTTCTGATTTCTGACTTGGTTCATATGGTTTGCTGTACTTTAATTGGCAAAGGAAAATGGGAAACTTCTCATTTCAGAAAAAAAAAAATGTATTTGCATATACACTTATTATGAAAATCAAAAAAAAAATTCTCAAGCTGTAAAATACATGTCTTCCTTGTATAATTTTCAACTGTGTTGTCACTGCTTAAGGTAATTAGGAATGACCAATTACAGGACTTCATTTCTACAGGCTGTCTCATCAAACATCTACCAAACTTCATGTAGTTATTCATGGGCTTATTATTAGTGAAAAATTAAGCTCAACCAACCAAATCTAGGCATGTCCACAGTCCATTTTTGAGGTAGGGACACCCTCAGGACAGTTTATGGCTGAGTATCTGGAGACCACCACTCCCCCTACTAGATGGAACTTACTCAGGTGGAAAATACTGACAAACTAATACAATACTTACCTACAATGTGCAGTTGTGATATGAATCAAATGCTCACGAATCCCTGCATGAAGAGATGACTGAATCACTTTCCGGAGGTGCTCAACAGTACAGTTTCTTTTTTTAACACACTCTAAAAGATGCTCAAATACAGTAGTCAAGCAGGATGAGTAGAGCGATTGGACAGGTACGAATGGTGGCATATTTGTAGCCTAATTAAATATCATTAATTAAACAATCCAGTGGCCCTGGAACAAATTCATGGCATTACAAATTTTATTTGTAAAATATTTTCAAACCATTTTATATATCTGTACAAAGTACTTAAAAATGAATAAACGAAGTATTCGCGGATTTTCACCACTCGATTTATAGTGTTACGTGAACATTGATTTTATGGATTTTTCGGGGCCCTCATATAGCTTTGCCCCTGACCTTCACGCAACCTGGACGCCAGGGGTGCGGTAAGGAAAATATCTTTCGTACCTATTCCAAACTTTAGCTTATTGCTTTGGTTCAAGAAGTATATATTATAAATAACTTAAACTATCCTCACAAGGAGACTGTAACTGTCATAGTGTCAAATATAATTCCGTTTACAAACTAAGCAAAGTAAAGACGACCCTCAAGCAATTCCTGGGAATTTCCCTGACAATCCTTCCAGATAACTTGCGCGA